TTTTGACAAATGCATGTCTGTATCTACTTTTATAGTACCATGTGGAATAGTTTCACAATGCTAAAAATGCCCTGTGCCCCAACATTCATGCCCTTTCCACTCTTTCTGAATCCCTGGCAACCACTGATCTTTTTACTGACTCCATAGTTTTTCATCGTTCAGAAAGTCATATATTTGGCATCATATCTTTTTATAGTCTTTCCAGACAGGTTTCTTTCATTTAGCAACATTCATTTAAGGTTCCTTCATGTTTTTTTCATGACCTGATAGTTCTTTTTAATATTGAATAGTATTCCACTGTCTGAACATACCTCAGCTTATCCTTTCATACTTACTAAAGAATATCTGGATTGCTACCAAATTTTGGGAGTTATAAATAAAGCTGCTGCTAAAAAAATCTACGTGGATGTTTGTGATATGGATATAAAAATTTTCAAATCATTTGATAAATACCAAGGAGCACAATTGCAAGATTGTATGGTACAAGTATATTTAATTTTGTAAGAAACTGCCAAATTGTCTTTCAAAGTGACTCTACCAGTTTGCATTCCCACCAGTAATGAGCGAGAGTTCCTGTGGCTCCATGTCCTCCCCAACACTGCGTGGTGTCAGTATTCTGGAAGTCTGACTATTCTAAAAGGTGTGTTGAATGTTCACTTCTTGGTGATGTATGTGGTAGAGCATCTTTTCATATGCACATCTGTCACCTGAACGTCCTTGGTGAGGTGTCTGTTCAGATTTTCAACCATATTTTAATTATGTAGTTTGTTTACTTATTATTGAGTTAATTAAAGAGTTCTTTGTATTTCTTGGATACTAGCCCTTTATCAGATATGAGTTTTGCAAATATTTTCTCCCAATCTGTGGTTTATCTTTTCATTATCTCACCAGTGTCTTTCACAGGGTAGAAGTTTTTGGTTTAAATGAAGGACAACTTAACAATTTTTCTTTCACTAAAAAGTCATCATCACACCGAAGGCCATCTAGGTTCTCTCCTGTTATCTTCTAGAAGTTTAATAGCTTTGATTTTTCACATTTAAATCTACGATCCACTTGGAGTTGATTTTGGTGAAAGGTGTAAGGTCTTTATTCAGATTCATGTTTTTGCATGTGAGTGTCCAGTTGTTTCAGCAGGAAGTCTGGATTTTTTTATATGAAGTGTTCTAATTTTAAAGATCTATTCAAGTGTTTGTTGTTGTTGTTTGCTGGTAGTGGCAGGGGTGCAACTACAACTCCCTTCCCCTAATACATGATTTTAGACTGTATTTATCCATCCTGGATCATCTCCACTCCCTCGTTCCCCTTTCCTGGAATGCTCCTTCACTTACCCATCCAAATCTTCCTTAATGTCCACCTCGCCTTCATCTTACTTTTCCCAATACTTTGACCTGATGCATATGCTCACAGATATTCAGTTAATATTAACCCCCTTAATTAATCCCCTAGTGGGGATTGAGCCCCAGGGCATTCTACCTTTGAGCTACATTTTTTATTTTGAGACAGAATCTCACTAGTTTCTGAGGCTAGCCTCTAGTGATCTTCCTGCCTCAGCCTCCCAAAGCAGCTAGGATTACAGACATGCACCATTATGCCTGGTGACAGTGAACTCTACACATACTTAAAAGCTATAAAAGTCCCATCTCACGTTGTCATATGCCACTGCATTTTCTCCTTAGTCAAACTGTACACTCAGGAAGGAAAAGAATTGTTTTAGTCAGATTTTTAGCTGCTGAGACTGAAAGACCCATCCAGAGGAGGGTCTTTCAACTGTAGAGGAGGAAAGTTTATTTGAAGGCTCATTGTTTCAAAGGTCTCAGTCCACTGACAACCAGGTCATTTCTCAGAGCTCAAGGTGAAGCTGAACATCATGGTGGAAGAGTATGGCAGAGGGAAGCAGCTCACATGGTGATCAGAAGGAGTGAGAGACAGACTCTGCTCTCCAGATACAAAAAATATACCCCACAGCTATGCTCCCAATGAACCACTTCCTTCAGCCACACCCCACCTGCCTCCAGACGCCACCCAGTTAATCCCATCAGGGCTCAATTCACTGATTAGGTTAATGCTATAACCTAGTCATTTCTCCTTCAAACCTTATTGCATTGTCTCACATGTGAGCTTTTGGGGGACATCTCACATCCAAACCATAACAAGAATTCTCCTTTTCTGGTTTCCCCTAGGAAGTTTAGTACAGATTTGGGCACAAAACAGATTTAGCAAGATTTGCTGATGATTTCAGACCAGCTGAACTTTGGTACTGGTTTATCAACTGTCCTTTGATTTTTAGGAATCTAGCTGAAAACCTGCCAAAGATTTGAACACAACAGCCTTGCCCTCCCTGGCCTGGGCAGAATGATGGCAACACTAATTCTGATGCCTGATTTAGCTTTAGGTTCATGCCAACAAGAGAACCTTAATCTCCTTGGAGAGCTAGGAAAGGTTTACCAAAGAGAAAAATGTATTATTGGAGGCACCAAAGTACACTGAGTAACAAATGTTTCTTTCATGATGATTTTTACATGGCCATGATGATCGTCCAGTTCACTGTGAAAATGAATAAATGAAATAAAAAGAACAAACAGTTTCCTGGTGGCTGTCTCCTACCTTATGCCTAAATAATCACCAAGCTAATAGCAGCCCTCTGTCTCTGCCTTTGTTTTATGGTTTCCATCTGCATCAAGTATTCTCATTCCAGGATCCCTGTAAACCTCTAACTGAACAACAATGGAGGGAGTGAAGGGCTCCAGCTCTGGGTTCTTGGTTGGCTGTGACTGGGCCTGGTTACCGTGGCGCAGTGTGCTGACAGCCTCATCAGAATTAATTACTCAGGGGAAGTACCATAGCTTCCATCTGGCAGGAATGCCTAACTTCCATTCATGGTCCATCCAGGCAAATCCCAGGCAGAAGGACCTTGGATTTGAGGGACAGCTAGTGAACCTGTTTACTAAACTCACAGGGGCTTTGGAATGGCCCCTACTCAGGGACCAGGCAAACGCCAGCACCAGCACTGGCACTGCTACTCCCTCAAGGAACAGCTTTCCCTGGCCTCAGGATGCACAGGGGGAGTCAGAAACTCATTCAGCTTGGGGACAGAAGTCTTGTTGGAAACACACCTACACGTCTACCTCTAATCCTCTTTTAAATACAAACAAGTAGAACTATTTCTGGAATCACCCTCCCTTCCTGGGAAAGACTCCCAAATCTGCATTAGGCAGGGAATAGTCCACCTGGATGGTCTGAAGTTGGCTGAGTGATCTTCAGTATGTTATAAAACACAAATCACATGTAAATATCTTAAAATATTAAAAATCCCAAGGCTTCTCCTCTAGGACCTGTTTAAAAGATATATTCCCCCTTTCATTTAGCTGCCCAAACAACCTCTCAGTACACACTGTACTCAGTGGTGACTCAGGGGCCCTGAGTTACCAGCCGCTAAAAACAAAGATTAAAGACCATTAGTTGGTATTGGATGGCTAAAGTCAGAGGGTGTTAAGCAACCTGGGCAAGAAGTTCAACTTTGCTCATGCTGAGCAAGAAATAACTTTAGCCACTGCAAGGTACAGAAATATAAACCAAATGGAGGAAAAGGAAGGAAAAAAAAAAAGAAAGGGAATAAAATAGAATCTTCTTTAATTTTAGGAAATTAGGTATAGGAGAGCCTGAGGAAACATGCAGAAAGGCTGGGTGGGTTCCTCCGCAAGTTCATTCATAGAGAACCAGAAGAAACCCATTGCCCAGAAGATGGACAGATTCAATAATTTTAAGCTCTTGAGGCATGGTCCACATCTTGGTGAACAGACACACTACCAAAAAAGGGCCAGGAATTAAACTTCCTGAATGTCCATACAATGTAAAGCTGCCAACAACTAAAAGAAGACCTGATTTTTCTCAAAGATTTTACCTTACACGGTAGTTACCTATCCATTACATGTACTTTTAAAGGCCATTTTGGAGTCATTTTTCCTCTCAAACATTCATTTTCCCTTAGTCTGTTCTAAGGCAAAAAATCATTAGACCCATTTTGCAGATCTGTAAATATCTTAAAGAGATGGAACCTCTGGGTGCTGTCATGCAACCACAGCACTCCGAGGGTCAGGAGAAGGCTGCTGACATGCTGGTGTCTCACCCGAGTGCTGATGTCTCTCCAAGTGAAACAACTGCCTGGAGACAATCCGTGGCTGAGCCTCAAGTTATTTTCACTAGAGAAAGGCAAAGTCAACTCTGTTTTTCTTGACTTTTATACAGCTGTAGCCTGAGAGTCCAGCTGTTCTGGTCATGGCCTCACATTCTTTCTGCAAAGGCTCTAGCTGACAAGATTTATAGGATGGTCTGAAGAAGCATGCTAAGCAATGCTGGATAAATTCACAGGGGAGAACTTTCTGGATCTAGTGGAATAGTTTCTGTGGGGGATTGGACAACCAGTCCCCACACTGCCTGTCTTGGCTGTAGTGCCTAAGGCTCAAGATAAAGCCAAAAAAAAGGCTCTTTCATAGTCTCTGGTGAAAGATCATAGTTATACTAAGGTTTGAGGATATGAAGACCCAAAGGCCAACTAGGGGCTCTTCCTTTTTGGAAGCGGGCACAGAGGTAGCACTGAACATTTCCAACATAGTCAGGGGAAGGGAAACTGACACAACATGAATGAAACATACTTGGCTACTGATCTACAGAGCTACTACAGTCCCTGGATATTTATGAAATTAAGCAAATTTCATGCCCAGCAGCCAGCACAGGCAATAGCCATAACCAAAGCCATCTCAGCAGGACAGTAAATCAAGTTCACCAAGGCCAAGAAGCAGTATGTTAAGAATAGTGACTCCCCTTTGAGATGATGATACTTTAAAAAAATCCAACAAACTAGCCAACCTCCAAGTTTAGGGAAAAGGTTTAAATCATGTTCATGGGACTATGGCCCAAAGTCAGGTGGGACCAGAGAGTAAATTCTGGCACAATGGCTGACTGGGGCCCTTGTGTAGTAAGTGGGTGGACGTCATACTTACAGTGAGTTGGGCCGGGTGGGCTTGACCACATCCAGGTCTGGGTCACTGGAGTTCATGTTGGGCTGTAGGCTGCTGCTGGAATTAAGGACGCTGTTTGCATTTGATGAGACAGATTCCAAACTGGAGTTGATCATGCTGTTCCTTTGTTCCTCTGCAGGGAAAAATGCCACAAGCCCCATGTTAATATTGTATAGGGACAGTCTATTTCTACATAAAACAAAAACTGAGATTCTTGAAGCTTAGAAAAAAGACATAGGAACAGGCTAAAATAAGAGTGAGAAGGAAAGAGTCAAAAGGAAATGGATGACATGAAAATTTGGAGCAAAATCCCTTCCTCATCTTAACAGGATATACCTTTAATATGAGCCAGACTTTTTCCGTAAGAGTGGTCTTGCCATGGCACCTGAAACTGTGTCTTTTTTTGACTAGTGGGCCCCTTGCATCCAAATAGATGCCTTGGCTTCCATGACACTTGCCTTTTATCTCACACTCTGGCCTTTACTATTAAACAGGCCATGTCCTACCTGCATTTTATAGCACCTCACTATAGAATATCTACTATTTGGCTACCAATTTCCTTATGACTCAGCTCGTCTAAATTCCTTACCCCACCCCAGACATATCCTTCTGGGTTGCCTCCAGCTTCACATATTTGATGTTTAACTGCAAGTTAATTCTTCTATATATAGGGCTGTAAGAGGCTGCACTGTAGTCTGCTTACAACCAACAAAAACCCCAGTCCATGGTCCAAGCAGTCACAATCATGCTTGGAGAACGGGACCAACTCAGGAGAGAGGAAACCTGAACTCTCTTCAAGAACCCATCTCTGGTGGTTGTGTGGCCTCAGGCAATTTCCATTTGATTCAGATTCTTGATTAATGAATCTACAAAATGGGGAGAACAAGAATTGCCTTGCACAGCTCACGGAGCTGTCACGAGGATCAAGTGGGATCATATGCAGGAATGTGTTCTGTAAACTTTAGAATACTGCTCAAAGAAAAGAACTTTCTGTTTCTTCTCATCTTTAAAAACTTGGAACCATGCATTGAAAAAAAACATTTTGGAGCTGATGTAGCTAAATGACACAGGCACCATGGGTGTAGCAAAATACAGATTTGGAATGTCATTCTCATCCTGCAGACATTACAGATATACCATATGAAATCAACAGATGTTTCTGGCAATTATTTCACTTGTCAATAAATAAATGTAGAGGACTGGGGTTGTGGCTCAATGGTAGAGCACTTGCTTAGCATGTGTGAGGCACAGGATTCAAGCCTCAGCACCACATAAAAAATAAATAAAATAAAGTTATTATTTAATCTACAATTAATTTTTTTTTAAAAAAAGGAAGAAATGTGGACAAATTCTTAATTCTTACTGGGCCTTTCTGACATGAGTTAGATGTATACCATAACCCTAAAAGGACAGACTGGAATCACTCACATGGCAACTGACAGGTCAACATTGGAACTTGAATCTCTTTAAGTAATAAAGGGGGTAATGTCATAAGAAATGCTTTCCCCTTTGCAACAGTCATGTCATGTCTGTAAAAACAAATTATGCTTATATAATGATGTTAGAGTAGTCTTCACAAATCTCTCTCTCTCTCTCTCTCTCTCTCTCTGCCCGCCCCCTGCCCCCACCAATATCCCTAGTATCTTGGCAAATTCTAAAAGCCCCAAAGAACAGACAAAAGATCTATGAGGTTACTGGGAGGTTCCTGAACTCTTAAGCAGATGTTGATGAAAGTAGATTATTCAAGTGATTATTTCGATTTAGAATTATTCATAATTTAAGGGCTTAACTTTCAAACAGAAACAATCCAAAAGAAAGAGAAACCGTAAGTTAACATTGAGCAGGAAGGTTAATAGGGCCTGTAAACAGGAATTTGCTACTAGGAAGAGAAACAACTCTCAAATTACATAATTAGGGGATCATTGAGAAAATGGATACACCACCTACCAGTATGAATCAGTATAAGTAAAACTTTCCTTGCACAAAATACTTATTTTCAAGATTCCTGAAGAGTGAGAAGAGCTCAAGACCACCACGTAAAGAAAGGGAGTGAAGATGACATTCCTGTGACCTTCAACTGTAGACTTTTTCTGCTTCATACACCAGGAGAGGTGAATATTTTATTAATTTTAGTTTAAGAAGTGTGAGGGGCCAAGTTTGCATGACACAGTTGTTTGAATTCTTAGGAAGGAGAAGAGAATAAGTATAGCTCATGTCTCTCTTGTGATTATATTCACTTTGTTCATGAGAGAGTTATGATCCTACAAATCAAAAACAACATCATTCTAAAGTTATATTATTATTATTTTGGCAGTACTAGAGATGGAAACCAGAGGCACCTTACCACTGAGCTACATTTCCAGATCCCCCACCTTTTTTTTCTCTAATTTTTAATTTTTTTTAGTTGTAGATGGACATAATACCTTTATTTTATTTTTTATGTGGTGCTGAGGATTGAACCCAGTACCTCACATTTGCAAGGCCAGCACTCTACCACTGAGCCACAAGCCAAGCCCACCCAGCCTTTTTTTGAGACAGGATCTCACTAAGTTGCAAAGGCTGGCCTCAAACCTGTGATCCTTCTGCATGAGTCTCTCAATCAAGTTGCTGGGTTTAGAGTCCTGCACCACCATGCCTAGCCTTGATATTATGTTTTTTTTTTTTTTTTAAATGTTATCAGGTCATTTCCCCCTCCCTATTATTCATTACAAAAAAGGAATATCTGAGATGAAAACTTCCTCAAATTTCATTTATTCAGTGAATATTTATTGAGAGCCTATTGTATATCAAATTGGGTCCCCAGACAATAGATTTCTACCATAGTTTTAAAATTTTGTTTAGACTGATACTTATCAACTTGTACAAATTTGTCTATGTCTACCTTCCTCAGTAGACTGTAAGAAACTTAACACAAAGCTTTAAAACCAAAATTGAAAACAACATTATATAAAGGTGTTTTGCTTTCTAGAATATCAGAATCCCGATTTTCATAAGATATAATTCTAAAAACTGGATTTAGATAAGAGCTTTTAAGAACATGTCTATTGTGACAGTATTGCAGACTGGTGTCTCATGAGCTAGTAGGGAAGTCTCCAGCAAACAGAGCACAGTATTTGTCTGAAATAAACCTGTTAAAGAAAGAAGATAGTGTGGAGAATAAGAACTTGACCCACTATGGACTAGAAAAGTCAACAAAATAAAACAACTAATTCAACTTGAAGGTTTCTAGTATTTCATTTACTGGAGGATATAGGCATTCTTTTCTTAAAAAAGGAATTCTTTTTGAGGTTCTAGTTTGATATGTATGTGTGTATGTATAAGGATAGACAGAGACAGATAGGGCTCTTTCACAGATGTACAACCTATAACATAACAAAACAACAATAAAAGCAAAATATCATGGAAAGGAGTTATTTGGTCAAGAAGAAAACACAAAAACTGCATCATAAAATTCCAGGGCTTTGCAGTCAAGACTGTCAAATATGCATTCTAAGGGGCAGACCCTTTATTGGCATTCCTTGGACCATGTAATAAGGAAATCCAGAAATCCAGGACAACTACAGTGTTTTAGAGATAAGCCTCATTATCTGTGGTCTCATTATAACTTTCAGATAGGAGATCTGAGCAGAAATATTGACAACCTGACTGAGGGTGAATAGGAAGGTAAGGTTTATTCCAGGGGAGTAGAGAGTAAAATCAAAAGCAAACAAAATGTTTCAGTGGTTATGGCAAATGATATCAAGGCAAATTCTAATCTGGAATAAAATAAGGAATAAAGATAAAATGATTCAGTAATGTCCCTCAAAATAGGAGGTTGGTTTTTTTTGTTTTTTTTTTTTCCTGTCTTGCAAGTAAATGAGTACCTGCTCCTAACAGAAATGCACAGGAAGAGGCAGCCTGGAAGATGTCTTTTTAAATAAAAATGAACTGAATCCTTCAAATAATGGAGCTGGACTTCCTTAAGTCACTGATGATTCAGTCCAACTCTGGTATCCTCAATCAGAAGGTATACAGAGGATTGATGGCAATTATGTTGTTGGAGGAAAAAAATTATAGGATGGTGGACTTCAAAGAAAAAACAACAACCAGTTATGAGTCAAATCAACAAGATCATAAGGAATCGTTTAAATGACAAAAGGAGAAAGAATGCCCACAATTTAGGAATGCTCCTGAAGGTTCCAGTCAGTAAGAATGTTTGCCTTTCTCAAAAGTATTGGTCCACAAGAATATTTTTTTTTTGTATTAGTTTCAGAAAAATAAGAGCCCAGAAACAAGGAAATAATGAAACAAAGCCCCAAACAATATGTGTCAGTAATGTTCCTTTCATGCACATATATTATATGGACTGACAAACTGGATGTAAGCTTGGTCCATAAGGAGGCCTGCTACTCAAGGGCAGGCATGTACTGTTTGGCCACACAGCATCCATTCAAGTGACTGTGAGGTCATGGTTTACTATGTACTCCTGGTGCCTAGTCCATGTACCACATATACCAAAGCTCCATGGGGATGAGATACATAATGTGTGTAAAGGTATAATCTGCAATCATACTTTATTCTGTTGGAACAGAGGTTTGTGTGATTAAATTTTTCAGGTGCATCAGACAGGGACAACTGATGTCCTTAAAACCAATGTACTGCTGACAGTGGGCAGCTTTTTCGATTTTTGTACAAATCGGGAGTGGAAAAACATAGGTATGTAACCAAATCACTGCAACTAAAAAAGGAAAGCTACAGAATAATTTTGGTGATATTGTACTTGTTCTGGGGGTTGCCATGGAAATCTGGAAGCTAAGCTACTTCACTTTCCATATTTACCAAGTGACTCCTGTTCACTCTAATGGCAACCCCATCACATACGGGAGGCAGGATCTGTGTTTATCACAGAACCCACAGACGACGCCAGGAAAGCACATACAGAGCCAAGCCAAACTCACGCATCTTGGCAGGCCTGAACACGTCTGGCCCACTGAATACGCAGAACTGGAGAGTAAATATGAAACACAGATCTTTGACGTCACTTTCGGGGAGGTTTCCCATTATGCGTGGAAGTCTGTAGGAATTCAGGCTAACATATCAGCTTTCCATGATGCCAGAGTCTTGAGGTCAAAAGGAGGGAAAAAGGACTATTCT